ATTATCTGAGGCCATGAGAATATCATTAGTGACTTTCACCAGAGCTGTTTTAGTGCTATGATGAGCTCTAAAGCCAGACTGAAACTCTTCAAAAAGTTCATTATGGTGGAAGTGATCGCAAACTTCTTTGGCAACTACTTTCTCAAGAATTTTAGATCTGAAATATGCTCCAAAAACTTAATAATAAATAAATCAATCATTTTTGGTGAAATAAATAAAGTCTGGAAAATGGATTTAAGATTTATGTGAAGGATAGCAGAGCAGGAAGTTTTTGTCTAATATAGTAGCGTAAAGGCTGTGCTGCAATGGATGGAGCAACCTCAGGGTCTGAGAAAAAAAACCTTTGAATGCTCCTAGAAGCAGTAGCAGAGCAGCAGAGGCTCTGGGAAATCCCGGTTTCAAGACAAAAGAGTTCAGCCTAAGACGATGTGCAGAAATCAGCTGGTTCTTTATTGGGTTTCATGTCAGCGATCATAAAGCAAACAGAACAACTTTAAACAATGATTTCCTGCATGCAGCTCTGATGGGTTCAGGCAGCTTTAAATCTGATCCATCTGATCTCACAAGGCCAGATATGGATGTTTCTATGGTGACAGACGGGGCTAAAGCTCTCCTGTCACACAACAACATGCAGACTGACCTTTCTATACAAAAAGGCAAAATATAGATTTTCTCATAACAAAAAAAATCAAACCACTAGAATCCCCCAAACAGGAAACTAGAGATTGTTAAATATGAAAGTCCTGAGTGTTCCTCAATCTGAGACTAATCCACTCCGAGTCCCAGAGTTTAAAGTCAGCCAGAGCTGCAGGAGTTAATCCACAGCTCAGAGTTCTTCTGCACTGGGAGGACTGGGAGGACTGGGATGTGAAGCTCAGCTTGGAGACAGTGCCGAAACCTCTATAAAAATATAAAAATAAAGATTAATGAAAGAAAGCAATATTCTATTCAACTCAGTTCTATCCTTAACTATTCTGTTCTATTACTATCTGTTCTATTCTAAACCCTGTGACTGATCTCATTACCTCTGGGTGGAGGAGGCGGCCGGCTGCTTCCCACCAACTCACTCTGAGACAGAGCTTCAGTCATCCAGCAGAGGGCGCTGCAGCAGTACTCCACCTGGAGAAGAGACAGTGATGCATGAGTGCTGAGCGGGCAGCTTTGGTGCCTGCCTACCTGTCTGTCTGTCTGCCTGTCTGTCTGTCTGTCTGTCTGCCTGCCTGCCTACCTGTCTGTCTGTCTGC